CTCAGAATATGGACTAGCCTCTCAAATTCACAGTCATTGTAGTAGAAGACTTTTTAGAAACACTTGCAAAAGTTTTCTTATGTTGGGCCCAGATTATCCTAGAGCCATTTGTTTAATTTATTATATCTTGATTACTTCTTAGGAATAAGCTAGGCACTCTAGGGCTGGAGTAATAGTTCAGTGGGAAGGGCGTTTGCCTTGCATGTGGCATGACCCAAGTTTGATCCCTGGCATCCCATATGGTACCCCACACGCTGCCAGGATTTCTGAGTGCAGAGTCAGGAGTAACCCCTGAGCATTACCCCATGTGACCCAAGAAGAGAAAAAAGAAGTAGGCATTTTAGCAGATATTGGAGATAAGAAAAAATAAGAAGTTTGTTTCTATAGAAATGCGTGCTTTAGGGGGCTGGAGTGATAGGACAGTGGGTAGGGCGTTTGCCTTGCACATGGCCAACCCGGGTTTGATTCCCAGCATCACATATGGCCCCCGAGTACCACCAGGGGTCATTACTGAGTGCAGAGCCAGGAGTAGCCCCTATGCACCGCCCAGTGTGATCCAAAGAGCAATAAATAAATAAATATATAAATAAATAAAATAAAAATTAATTTGTGCTTTAATTGAATGAGACAGGTGTATGAATAAGTCTTTTTAAAACAAACTATAGAAAGCCTGGTGGTAGTTGGGCATAGTGTCTTTAGTAGCATAGGAGAACCACTTAGTAAAGCAGTGGGTACTTCAACTAAGTTTAAAACAAACAGTTTGATTCAGCGAGAGGGGCAGGAAGGCGTGATGTCTGTGATAGTGAATACACAGAAACATTGAGTAGCAACAAAAGCTAATGAATTTGGATTAGAAGTCTTGGGAAACAAAAAGCCAAATGGTAGGTAATTACTTATCTAGCCTGCCTTTGGAACTGCATTGATCTTACTTTAACTCAATTAGATGAAACTGAAGTTTCTGGATCATCATAGGACAATTCAGGTCCATAATACGTCTTAAACGTTTTATTAGGTGGGTAATGGATCTTGTCTTGGTATAGAATTTATCAAGGTAATTGCGCTTATTGTCAGATTAGATGATAAACTCCCCCAAGGAAGATATTTTTCTGCAGAATTGTTGTATGCATATGTCAGCATATTCAAAGTTTAAAAGACAAAAAAACAGATTGAAGAGAGAACGGCTAATAATTATTCTAGGAAGACATTCCTTCATACTGTTTTTCTCTAAAAAGGTAATGGTAATAATCTATTTTACAACTTTTTGGATGTGTAATTTTGGTTTCTTTTTCTAGGGCTTACTGGAGCTTATGGTCTTCATCGGTTAAAATTCATCTGTCACTTTCACTGTCCTCCGGTTGTTCATCGATTTGCTCGAGCGGGCCCAGTAACATCTCCACTGTGACACTTGTTACTGTGTTTGGCTTATCGAATATGTCACGGGGAGCTTGCCAGGCTTTGCCGTGTGGGGAAATTCATCTATTAAAACAATTTTTGTTTCTCTCTTTTTAATCCAAGGCTGTTGCAGACTTCTGCTTTAACACCACAAATCTTTTATATCCTAGAAGTTACATATTAAATGTCTCTTAATTCTACCACTCCTGTAATTTGTGTATTTCTATTGATTATACCCCAAGAAGTTTGAAAGGAAAGACGTTTTAATCAGTGCCTATTTTGTTCAGCTTAATTAAAGAGGAAATACTGGGAAACTGAGCACAGATTCACTAATCTCAAGATTTAATTATCTCTGAATAATGATAAAATTTCATTAGATAGAGGGCATTACTTATGTGTCATAGATGAACAAACATGAGAGTTTAAATTGTCCAACAGCAGAAAGGAAATCATGGGGCTCCATGCATTTCCCCCTACCTGAATAATCTATGGCAAGAGCAGATCATCGTGATAGAACAATCAGCCAAAGCTATCGAGGATGATTGAGGGCAGTTACTTCTGGGGCCAGAACTCCAACTTATAATACAGATCTGGTGCAACCAGTACTTTCCCCCCAGCTTGCTAATGATTTCATACATCTTTTCAAAGGTGCAACCTACTCCTGACCTGCTTTACTTTCACCAGATGATTTTATTTCCTGCGAAGTTAGTTCTATAAGAAACCAACATAAATTCAATTGCCCCATCTGTAACTGACCTTAATGGAATCTGTGTGGCTCTAGACAAAGGCTAAGCTCTCTAGCTCTGTCCAGTGTGCCACATGCTTCCGGTCACTCAAGGATATTGCTTTTGAAAATATTCATACTTTTCCTTCCTTATTATATCTCCTCTAAATATTAGAATCAAAATTTCAAACCCAAAACTGTCTTTTTTCCCCTCTTTTTGGGTCACACCCAGCAATGCACAGGGATTACTCCTGGCTCTGCACTCAGGAATTACTCCTGGTAGTACTTGGGGGGACCATATGGGATGCTGGGAATTGAAACCGGGTTGGCCGTGTGCAAGGCCTATCCGCTGTGCTAATTGCTACAGCCCCCCCGCCCATCTCTGTCTTATAATTAAATCATCTTAAATAAAACATTACCGGATGATATGGAAACTAGGACCAGAAAAGTAACTTGTCTGAGTTTACATAGTAAATAGCACAGGTGTAATATTAACCTAAGATTAGGTTTCGAACCTAACCTCAGAATTTGCCTTATGAAAATGTCAACACATGTTTTACACTCTCAGCTGCAAGCACAGGAATGTAGATGAAAATTTAGAATGTTTTTATAACATTTTAATGTTTAATATCAATAAATATAAAACAAATGAAACAAATGTTGTTATAAAACCAACAATAACTTTAATCAATATGCAATATAATTCACATAAATACACACCTTTAAACAAGGAAAGTTTCAGCTTACAAATACCTTGAGAAAAATTCTAATTTGATTCAATAATTTTTGGGGGGTTGGAGTGGGCTTGCAATCAGCTGTGCTCAGGGATTACTCTTGGCTCTGTGCTCAGAGATAATTCCTGCTGGAAACCAGCTGGGGTGTTGAGGACAGAACATGGGTCACTCATACACATGCAAAGCAAGTGCCCTACCCACTGTATTATCACTCTGGCCCTAGGTTCAATAATTTTATAACTAAGGTTTTGGGCTGGAGCGATAGCACAGCGGGTAGGGCGTTTGCCTTGCACGCGACCAACATGGCCGACCCGAGTTCGATTCCTCCGCCCCTCTTGGAGAGCCCGGCAAGCTACCGAGAGTACTCGATATGCCAGACACAGTAACAACAAAGTCTCCAATGGAGACGTTACTGGGCCCACTCGAGAAAATCGATGATCAATGGGAGGGCCTTTTACCTTTAAGGTTTTGGGCAAAGGATATAGTTACCATTTCCTGCCCTAATTTTTTGTAAAAAAAATAGTAATTTCAGATGGAACATCCATTTCAAAGAAAAATGACAGGTCATGACATAAAGGTACGGAAGTCATTGGACATTACAATTATCTTTATATTAAAGTAATAGATTTTATGTAATCCTGGATTAAGATGTGGGGAAATAAAACTAATTCAAGTTTGTACCAAGTCAGTCAAGTAGAAATCAGAAAGCCTGGTACTGAGATGAGAGGAACTTATATTTGGCATTTTATTCTAATGAAATAAGCAGCATGTCATCATCTTGACATTTACTTAAATGTTTTTAAAATCTGCGAGAGCTCTGACTCTCAAAGTTGGTTAGGGACTGGAATCACCCAGAGTTTGAAAAAAAAACAAAACAAAGCTATGTTCATTAGTTAAAGTTCATATTTAATTGGAACAAACTTCCAGTCCTCAGTTATAGGAATCCCCACGACTTGATTTCAGAGTGTATCTGTTATTTTTATCTCATTGGTGTATCTCCCTGATAAGGAAGTAAACACTTAAGGGAAAATATTTTTTTTCTGCTTTATTCATTATTGTCTTTATCTGAAATAATAAAAAGCACAAAATACTTGCTAACAAATATTTTTGGATGAATCTATGACATACTTGATTGCCTTATGCTTCTTTTATAATATCTTCTAGAGGACTCAGGGATACCGGAAAGCGAAAGACACTAGGGACAAGTGGGTATCTAACAAAGTTAGGATGATACTTAAGAAAAACCAAAATATACACTTATTTTAAAAACACACACATATATAAATAGACCAAAAGTAGAAAAATAATATACAAAAGAGTGCAACATTTAGTAGGTGAGAATTGTTTTCAAATACTTCTTCACATTCTCCAAACTAGGTCTTCATGCTACTGTCCAAAAGCACGTGAACAGGAATGTCTTCTTTTAAAACAGAATTCTAGCTTAATCTTGATGAAAACATCATTTTTCAAAATTCAAGTAATAGTTAAGCATAGTCCTTGATAGCTTTTACAGATAGTTAAATTAAAAAAACAAAACACTGCTCCCAGTTAAAATAGCTGGTCTGATCTACTTTTATTTGTTCAGATCCACTAGTTTCTTTATAGTCTCACATTGGTTAAAAAAACAATAAAAACAAACAAACAAAAAAACAAAACACACTTTTAGGGGACTGGAGAGATAGTACCTGGGTTAAGGCAAATGTCTTGCACACATCCATCCTGGCACTGTCATCCATCCCTAGCACCACCTGGTCTCTGTGTGAGGGCAGCGCTGCAGGGCCCCCTGGACTGCTGCATGGTATGGGGAATCCTTGATTCAATCCACAAAACCCATGCATGCAGGGTCCAGGGAAATGGCTCAAAGGGCTGGAGCATCCGTTCTGCATGTTGCAGGCTCGGGATCAATCCCTGAGCACTGCACTGGGAGTAGCCCCAGTATAAAATCCAAAATACTCAGGGGTGTAGCTTCCCCCGGCCCAAAAAAAAAAAAATATCTACAAAAACAAAAGCACATGCAAAAAACCCATAAAATTATTTTGGCAGCATCTTATAGGGTTTTTTCTATAAACAAATTTATTAAATAGCTTTTTCTATAGTTCTAGATATGGCTTCTTTACTGTGGTTCCACAAGGATAACATAATTTTTAAATTTAGTATCTCAGACTACGAAACTTTGGCTTTTTTAAAATTAACATTGGTTGCTTAATTGTAGGTCTATCACCAAAAATTGCTGCTTCACTCTCCATGGTTGGAAATCTTTTCTGATATATCAAGGGGTATTCTTTCTGAAACTAAAAAATAAGGCAAGGGTTAGAAGGTATTTGTAAAGTCAGAATTCAAGATTTTATAAGAATTCAGAACCATTTGCATATCATTAGAGATTAGTATCCTTTCACTTTTCCTTCGTTAGACCCTCCTATAAATAGGGTCTTGGTGACACTATACAATTTCTTAAACCCCAGCTAACAATGTCGTAAGATTCTCTCTTCTGCCGCTAATTCTCTTCCACCCTCTGCTCTTGTTTTCCAATGCTAAGAAAGGCAACAGTGATTTAGTATTATCTTATATTTTTGTTTCAGATCTTGAATTGGATTTGCCAGAATCCATTGACTAATGAGTTTTAATACAAACAAAAAAAATCCTGAATTTTAGTGATGAATCACTAAAGAGTTATGTAGAAAAATTCAAATGATTTGTCTTCCCAGGTGAATCTTTAATTATATAAAATACCCAAAGTAAAAGATAACATCTCTAACTATTATTTAACTCTCAGAGTAAAGAACAAAAATAGGGGCCGTAGCGATAGCTCAGTGGAGAGGGTGTTTGCCTTGCACAAAGCCAACCTAGGTTCGATCCCTGACATCCCATATGGACCCCTGAGCACTGCCACGAGTCATTCCTGAGTGCAGAGCCAGGAGTAACCCGTAAGCATCGCCAGGTGTGACCCGAAGAGCAAAAAAAAAAAAAAAAAGAATAAAAGTAGATAGTCCTAGTCTACGTATCCAAGCATAAAATCCAAAATAAGAAATTAGATGCTAAATAATATTCGATATCAACAATGACAATTTAGAAAATATTTATGCCTTAGGTCTTGTTTCCTTGCTTACTTGTTTTAGTTTTTTTCTTTTCTCCTTTGGAGGCAAACTGTTGTTTTTGATAATATTTTCCAAAAGTTCTGAAATTGCAGCTTGTGAGGTAGAAACTTTCTGTTCGTCGAACTCCCGTGTGCTGATCTGCTGACAATAGGAATATGTTGGCAAAGGAGGACTGAGTTCATCTCCAGGGTTTCTGATCTGCAGTGAGAAAAATGACAAAATACAAGGACATGATTCTCATCTTCATACTCGGTGACATGCTTTTTGGGTGGGAATTGGTCCCTATTATTTTGCTTCCAAGCATTAAACATTTTAAGAAAACTGGTGAATTGGGTATAGAGGTCTCTAAATCCTGGGCCTCCCACCTTTGAGTTTTGTAATCTTAGGCAAGTTATTTAACTTCTCTGGGTCTATTTTGCCTCAACTGTAAGAGGGAGTTATATGAGATAACATACACCATGTGCCTAGCACTCAGTGAAGTGTTAAATAAAACATCCATTATTGTCAATTGTCATACCATTGGTCATGGACTTTGTTCTCTTATCTATGAAACAATGACAAGACAGTATTTTGATTCATTGTAAAATATTAATGTTCTTCCAAGGTAAAGATCAAAGTATCATGTCATTTTGAGGTGAAGAGCATGGGCGAAGTCTCTAATATCTATTGATAAGTGAATGAAATTGTAGGTGCTAGTGACAACAATAAATCAGGGTGATAGCAGAATGTAAGTATGAAAAGAAACAATGCAGACAAAGATTGAACATAACAGATATCTGTTGCGGGGCTGGAGAAATAGCACAGCGGGTAGGGCATTTGCCTTGCACGCAGCCGACCTGGGTTCAATTCCCAGCATCCCATATGGTCCCCTGAGAACCGCAAGGGGTGATTCCTGAGTGCAGAGCCAGGAGTAACTCCTGTGCATTGCCGGGTGTGAATCAAAAAAAAAACAAACAAACAAACAAACAAACAAAAAAATAGACATTTGTTGCTTTGGGCTACTTAGTAGGTATTTTTTTCCCCCTTTTGGTATTCATTTTCTTTCATTTCACCCTCATTTTCTGTGTCTCTTTTTGAAAGAGATTATTGTCTAGACAGAGTCCATCAGAATAAGGCCCTCTCCCGTCTTTACCATCCACTACCCAAAGGCTGGACCTTGAACTTATATGGGATCAAAGATGAAAAAATGGCTCTTTTTTTCTTTGTTTAGGAAACTAAGTCTGTGATGATTATATACATATATATATATATATATATATATATATATATATATTTTGTCTTCTGGGTGACACCTGGCAACGCTCAGGAGTTATTCCTGGCTCTGCAACACTCCTGGTGCTAAAGAGACCTTATGGGATCCTGGGAATTGAACCCAAGTAGGCCACATGCAAGGCAAATGTTCTACCTGCTGTACTATCGCTCCAGCCCAAAGTCTGTGATTCTATTTCCATCATATGAAAGAATCATTGGTTAATTAAAGGAGCACTGTGGAAATATGAGATTGAAGGAAAGAAGTAGAATTGCTACTCGAATCTGCAGTCTGTCTACATTCCTTTGAGTTGTCAATTGATATGAGATGCTCAATCTTCTTCATCTTTGATGAATCTAGTTTGAGTTAGCTTGCCTCTTGCAACTAATAGGAATTATTTTAAGTCGAATAAAACTTACCTGGCCCCTTTTTAAGTAGTCAAGATGTCTCTCCACTGCAGTCTGTAAATAAGAAGGTACCTGAAGAATTTCCTGATGATGATCCATTAAAAAAGAAACTAATCTTGCAGCAAGAAGCTCATCAAGATCTACTTCTTCGGCACAGCATAGCACACACCTAGAAAATGTGTGTATCATCTAGAAACATATGAAGGGATGTGATTCCAGTTAGCAGTATGCTGAAGTACTGAGATTAAGTGTTAAGTGGAATTCAGCTTACAGATGCGACATTATAAATGAAGACATTATAAACTTGTTCAATTTTCCTTAACATATTCCGAGCAATAAAAAAGAACTAAATTTTTCTTTAATTTTATCAGCAAACACAAGGATTGCCATAGCACTCTTTACAATAGCCAGAATCTGGAAAAAACCTGAGTGCCCAAGAGCAGATGACTGGTTAAAGAAACTCTGGTACATTTACACAATGGAGTACTATGTAGCTGTTAGAAAATATTAAGTCATGAAATTTACATACAAGTGGTACTACATGGAAAGTATCATGTTAAGTGAAATGAGTCAGAAGAAACGGATAGACACAGAAAGATTGCATTCATCTGGAGAACATAAAGTAACAAAATGGGAGACTAACACCCAGGAATGGCCGAGATTAGTACTAGGAATTTTGCTCCATGACTTGGAGGCCAGCCACACGTGCTAGGGGAAAAGGAAGCTCAGATAGAGAAGGAAGCACCAAATAAAGGGTGTTGGGAGGATCCTCCTCCCAGGATGGGAGAAGCATGCTGAAAGTAGACTATAGACCAAGCATGATTGCCACTCAGTGCCTCTCTTGCAAACCACAGGACTCAAAAGGAGAGAGAGAGAACAAAAGGGAATGCCCTGCCACAGAGGCAGGGTGGGATGGGGGAATGGGGGGTGGGAGGGATGCTGGGACCCGTAGTGATGGAGGATGGGCGCTGGTGGAGGGATGTATACTTGATCATTGTATAACTGAAACCCATGCACAAAAAATTTTTAAGTCTATAACTGTACCTCATGGTGTTTCACTAATAAAAAAAAAACTGTTATAGAGAACTGCTTTTATATACTAATACGGAAAAATACAAACCCAAATATACAACATACACAGATCAGTGGTGTATACAAACACCCCTCACTCTAAATAATTTGAATATCAAAATTCTAATTTATATAATAAATGATAAGTAAATTGACAATTGAGATATTCTGGTTTATTTCTCCAGGTTTTCCTATCCTTTCCAATATTTTTTCTATCCCCTCCTACGGCTTTTTATTCTTTCTCAGCTTGGCAAAGCACATCTATTCTCAAAGCTTCAACAACTACCTTTCCAAAAAAATTTGCTCTGCTCTGACCTTTCTTCACTGGCCTTACATTCCCAATATTCTGTTAAATTTCCCTTGAATTTTGTTAAATTTCCCTTGAATTTTGTATAACCTCAAACTCAAAAAGTGTAAAAACCAAAATTATTCTCTATACTTGTGTCTTGCAAAATATCTTTCTCTACTAACTTCCCTAAGCTCTGCAATGGTATCACGATGACTCAAGAATAATGCTTTCTCTATATTTAGTTCGACATGGTTAAAGACCTTTAGCTAATGAGTGAAATAGCTCTCAGTTCCTGATTTCTTGCTATGAGAAGCTCTTTTAAGTGGCAACTGCTCTTTGGCAGGATGATGGCTCTTGAACGAAAGAGGGAAAAAGACACATTAGAGAGTGTCTCAGAGTTCACTTCCAACCAATAGCTGCAGGGAAATGCCTCTATCTCATCCGCATGCAGAGCTCAGCAGCCTTATGGTAGTTTCTTCCAACTTCATGTCTACAATAACACGCCATCCTATTTAACATAATTCTCTAAGCTTAATTTCCCCACTATTGCAATTTCTGATGTGCTTTGGTTTATTGTACATGGATTTTCCACTAATTCTTGACTTCACAGATTTTCAGTGTCCTCTTTCTTCCCCATTGAACAGAACTGGCATGAGGCGTTATGTGGCAGTCTGGGATCAATTACTAGATCTGGTACAGGAAGTAAAGAAGCAAAGATCTGGGGCTGGAGCGATTGTAAAGCAGGTAGGGCATTTGCCTTGCATGCGGCCGACCCGGGTTCGATTCCCCGCATCCCCAGCATCCCTGAGAACTGCCAGGAGTAATTACTGAGTGCAAACCCAGTAGTAAGCCCTGTGCATTGCCGGGTGTGACCCAAAAAACAAAACAAAAGAAAAAAAAAGCTCAGAAAAGAGAAAGATTGTCACTACACTGTCACTGTCCTCCCATTGTTTATCGATTTGCTCAAGTGGGCCCAGTATCATCTCCATGGTGAGACTTGTTGTTACTGTGTTTGGCATATCGATTACTTCCTGGGTAGCTTGACAGGCTTTGCCATGCAGGCTAAATACTCTCAGTAGCTTGCCGGGCTCTCTGAGAGGGGGGAAGGAATTGAACTCGGTTCGGGTCGGCTGGGCCACCGGCTTGCAAGGCAAACGCCCTACCACTGTGCTATTGCTCCAGCCCAAGAGAAAGATTAAGATGTGGAAATATAACAGACTGGGCACAAAAGACAAATGCATCAACATTCTGTTCTAGGAGTCGACTTTTTGAAGAGCTTAATATAAGAAACTAAGATTTTAAGACCATGCTAGCATTGTAGCACTGTCCTCCCATTGTTCATTGATTTGCTCGAGCGGGCACCAGTAATGTCTCATAACAAACTGTGAGACTTGTTGTTACTGTTTTTGGCATATCGAATATGACATGGGTAGCTTGCCAGGCTTTGCCATGCAGGAGGGATACTCTCGGTAGCTTGCTGGGCTCTCCGAGAGGGGCAGAGGAATTGAACCCGGGTTGGCTATGTGGAAGGCAAATGCCCTACCTGCTGTGCTATCACTCTAGCCCAAGACCATAGTAACTCAAGTTATTATTTTTTTACGTCTTGACTTTTCTTTCCTCCTTCACCTCACCTTTTTTTTTTTTTTTGGCTTTTTGGGCCACACCCAATGATGTACTCTTGGAGGTGCTCAGGGGACTATATGGGATGCTAGGAATTGAACCCAGGTTGGCCGCATGCAAAGCAAATGCCCTACCCTCTTTGCTATCACTCCAGCACCCCTCTCCCCACCTTGTTTGTTTATGAACAAGATTTACTCTTTCCTTAAAAAGATAAAAAAACAAACATACCAGTGATCTTGTACCCATGGCGTCGTGAAGTTTGGGCATGTCAACATTCTGACTCATCCGAGAAATCATGCGCATTAACAGTTGCAGCTTTCTACGATTTGGTGGGGGGAGTAACAGGCAACATAACTGCAGTGCATCAATGGCAACCCTCTCTAAGTGAGGTTGCAGCAAACCTAGAAAACCAGCCGGCCCCACACCAAAAACAAAACAAAACAAAACAAAACAAAACAAAACAAAAAAATTAATGACGATAGTTGCTTTTCTATTACCAGTTATCGACAGAGCAAATATTTTAGCATTCCATTCCTTTCAACCACTCTTAAAAATTTCCACTTTCTTCAAAAGCACTCTAAGACTTTTGCGATTTGCTTTACAACCTGATTCTGAGTATTCAAACCCTTCACTTATTACGCACCCCAGAAGAAGTGAAATTAAGGAAGAAAGTAAGTACTTGAGGGGAGTGGAGTAAATTTGGGTTATGCCACGACAAAAGCCTTTTATGAAAAGAAACATTCAATTTTGAAGAAATATAGAAAGCCAGGTCAGAAAAGAAGAGCCAGGTGAGCGAAAGTTAGTAAACATTAAAAGTTAATATGACATGCATCAAAGCATCGACCTTACTTTGTGTGCCAGTCAACAGAGAAGAAGCTGGAGGCAAAGAGTTTCCTGAAAGTTCTATGGTACTTTTGCAGAGTCTTTTATTGACTGTGGTACTAGACTTTGCACCTTCGCTTTCCATAGCTGTTTTGACTCGGGTCCTGCCGTGTCCAAGATTTGGTTTCATGATAATTTCAGCCACTGGCGTATTGATAGAACTATTTCTTCTTGTACTACTTCTTAAAAGTAAACTCTGAGATCTGCAAAGCTGTTTTGACTTGCTCTTTCCATCACAAAACTCCTCTGGATCGTGAATACTCAGGGCAGAGGTTCTCTTAACGCCGACACCAACTGTCTTTTGAATCCTTTCCTCCGCCTGGAGATTCATGAGGGATTCCTGCGTGGCTTGAGACTCTATAAACTGTTTGCTATTTTGTCCGATATTTAGGACAGACTGGTGAAAGATGCTGGCGACCTCTTTCCTTGAACTCCCTGGTAAATCTACAATTCCTTCTAAAGAATAGCACTTTGGCTTGATTTGAGAGGACAGAACATGCATACTATTTAGACCTGTTAAATTACGACAACTTCCTCCCATTATGTCATTAGCACTGGCTCTTCTGTTTTTTAGATGAACTAGCTGCATTTTCTTAGCACATTTTTCTGGAGGTCCTCGATCACTTATCTGTGGCTGCTCAGAAGTATCTGATTCTTCTTTGTTTGCATCTTTCTGAAGAAGACTGAGAAGGAGACACTCAGTTGATTTGAAGGAATTCAAACCATTTAAATGCCTGGTTTTTGAAGACTGTGGATCATCTCGGATTTTAGGAATCCCACTGGGTCTATCTGAAACTGTGCTGTAGCCACAAACAACTACCAGGAAATGAAACAAAAGTTAAGATGCAACTGTACGACAGTGGACAAAATAAAACTGTATGACAAAAATAAACACAATAGTAAAAAAAAAAAAAAGAAAGCATTACCATATGTTGTTAGTATGGTACAAACAGCCAGTTGCTCAGAAGCCACTTATACAGGACACGTGCAACATTCAGTTACAAAGTGCAAGACTAGTTTTTTCAACTTGTGATATAAATAACTTTGAAATGTAGTTCAACATTTTAGTTATAGGTATTGGATCAAATACATGCAAAAAAAAAAGCCGCCTCCTCGGTCTATAAGTATTACAAAGCTCTTAATTTTCACGAAATTGTGGTCCAGTAATTAAAACCCAAGTTTGGAGTTTTGCCTCTGATCAAACTCAGGCTTCCCTCATGCAAAGAACAAGTGGCCTGTTCGACCATCAATGTGGATCCCAGACGTCTTTCCCTTTCAGTTTTTCAGCCACACCCAGCAATGTTCAGGGCACAGGGCTCACTCCTGGTGTGCTTTGGGGACCATATGTAGGGCCGGGGATTGAACCCAGGTCTGTACTATAACAGGCAAGTGCCCTTGCCCCCACCCATTTGGTTTTGAGAGAACATTTGGAGGTTCAAACCAAGGCACACAGCTACCAGTGTACCTTTCACTGAAGAATGAAGGAGAGTTGGTACCTAGTTCAGGAAGGCCATTCTTTTCCACTGAAACAAGGCTTCAGGAGGGATGCACGGGGGCCGGGGGGACGGGAGAGAAGAAGACAACTTGTCTGGCCAGCCCCATGAGCTGTCAACCCTGCTGATGAGTGGGGTGACAGATGTTGCAGATATATGACCCTCCCATCCTAGATAGGGTCTGTGTCTCTAGCCATGAATTTCTTCAATGTGGGATTCTTTAGTGTTTTTGTTATTCAAAATGAACATATTTGTGGGGCTGGAGCTATAGTACAATGGGTAGGGCATTTGCCTTGCATGCGGCCGACCCAGGTTCAATTCCCAGCATCCCATATGGTCCCCCAAGAACCGCCAGGAGTAATTCCTGAGTGCAGAGCCGGGAGTAACCCCTGTGCATTGTCACGTGTGACCCCAAAAGCAAAAAAACAAAAACCAAACCAAAAAATGGATTTGAACACTGCTAAGTTTAAGACAATGAGGTGACTCATGCTTGGGACTTCTAGCATTAAACCCAGACCGCCCTGGAGGGTGTTGGGGTTGGAGATCGAGTTCAATCACCAAGGGTCAATGATGTCATTCATTAAATCGAAGGAAATGTAATGAAGTCTCAGTTATAAAACTCTGAAAGAAAACTAAGAAAGCTTCTGAGTTGAACATAGGGGCATGCCAGAGAGCTCAAGTAGACTAAGCTATCCACTTGCAATCAGCGCTAAAATTTGGATTCTTTTGCTGAACTGCCCCTTTATTCTGTGGAAGATCCACTAATTGAATATGTGACAGAGTAAAGGACCTGCCTTTAACTGGCGGCGGTCTAGGCTAATTCTGGGCTGTCTAGTACCAAGACTGAATTGAAATAAACTGTAAAATACCAATTGGCGTAGAACTTCTCATGGGAAATTTGGTATTGAAAAGATGAATTTGAATTATTTGTAAAAATACACATGGTTGGGAAAGCCAGGTATGAGCCAGTCATGACAGGGTGACAGAAACCTCATGGGAGGGGGGGCGTTCCCAGCTTGTCCTTCACGCCCTACCAAGGTCACGAGTTGGCATCCACGAGCAGCTCTCCAGCACAGCCATGGCTCTAGGGCCACAGAAACCAATCTTATAATTATCTGACTCTTGGCAGAAATACTTCCAGGCTTAATAAGTAAAATATCAGAAATCCAGCGGCCGCGCGACATCATTTGGTTCTTGTAACCAGCTGTAGAAAACAAATTATTTCACAATGCCTCTTCAGCAGGTCTGATTTTGGGATGTAAACTCTAAATAATAATGGTGCATCTTTTGTCAAAACAATGAATCTAATCAAAGTAGATAGAGTGTTAACTAGAATTCATCTGCCTCACAGGCATTGGGAGGGTTTGGAGGGGGAGTATATTGAGGTTCTTGGTGGTGAAAAATAAGTACTGGTGAAGGAAAATGTGTTTGATGATTGCATGACCGAGACTTAAATCTGAAAGCTTTGTAACTTTTCCCACAGTGATTCAATAAATAAATAAATTTTTTTAAAAAAGAATTTTTAAACATTAAAGAGATTATTGAATGAATAAAAAAAAGTTACTGTCTAAAATACACATGGCTAATTATCATATTCCCAAATTAAAAAAATTGCAGTCTTCCAACTTTGTATTTACCTATTCTTTTATCGTTTAAATTATGAAGACTTACAAAAGTCAATACTCATACATTCCCAAAATGTTCACAAATAATTCCCAATACTCAAAAGCACATGGGCAATTATCATATTACTGAATTAAAAAAATGTAGTCTGCCAATTTCATAATTACCCATTCTTTTGTCTTTTAGATTATGAAGACTTACACAAGTGAAAATCCATACATACCCAAAATGTTCACAAATAATTCATAATATTCGAAAGTAAGCAAAGGTTCAGGTAGATCTAAAAAGTAATCTGCAATTGTTCTGAATACATCTCGCTCAAATCCAGCATATGTTGGATTATTCAAGTCATTATTTCTTGGCCCTAAGAAATAGAAGGGTAGGGAAACATAAAATATATTTAAAAACAATTTAAAACTACAAAAACTGTATGTCATGATGGAGCTATGTTTAACAACAGATTCTGCCACAATTAAAAAATTCAAAAGGTTATACCTATCTCATTACTCTAGTTATCTTTTTTTTCTTTTTTGGGAATGCTTAGGGATTACTCCTGGTTCTGTTCTCAGGGATTGCTCTTGACAGTGCTCCCAGCAGTATGGGGATCAAACCCAGGTCACTCTCATGCAAGATAAGCACCTTACCTGCCATATCATCTCTCTGGCCCCATGCCCTTCTTATCTCTTTATTAGAAATTACTGCAAGCAATCATTAACATTTTGTTTTATTAAACTGCTTAGATGCTTCAAAAACTATATCTAGAACAAATTCTAAAATATACTTTGAAAGTATATTTAGGTAAATTGATTTTAATTTAACAGCAATTCACTTATAAAGCAAGGCGTGGGGAGAGAGAGTGAGAGTGAGCGAGTGAAAGAGATATGATTTGGGCCCCAAGTGATAGTCCAGTGAGTAAGGCGTTTCAAAGCTGCAGCCAAATCTAAACCTGACATTACGTATGGCCCCCTGAGCATGGCCAGGAGTAATCTCAGAGCACAGAGCCAGGAGCCAGCCCTAAGCACCAATAGCTATGGCCCTAAAATAAACATACAAAAGTTAAAATCTGAGTGACTCTGGCATCTTTCAAGTTAAATCTTTTCCCTCCCAAACTCAAATTGTTTTCCTTCTGTCTCCAAACCTGTATAGCCAAAGACACACACACACACTAGCTTGAAAGTTAATAGAAACCTTTAAAAGAGAAAATACTGGGATTAAAAATACAGAATTTGTACTAAGAAAATCTCAATTTGGGTACCTAGCTCCTATGTATTAGCAGGAAGCTTTCGGAGTTTTTATTTTCTCTTCTGCAAACAAATTTGGCATGTATACCACTAGCATGTATACCACTGATTCATTTATACCACAAAATTAGCATGGGAGGCCAAATAACAAGCTAAGTAGAAGCTTTAACACGGTCTCTGACTAGATATATATTCTTATCAAACAAATTCAGTAAGCTCTGTCTTTGGTCCAAAACATGAACTGGGAAGAAAGATGTAACTCCCTTGAGATGTGACATCAGAGACTTCATTTGAAGTAGGCAAATCTGAGTCATCAGCGGTGACTTCAATTACAAAATCACCTGTACAGTGAAAAAAGCTCAGGGCTCTATAACACATTCCACTTACAAAGAAATGTCACCAGCTATAGAATACGAGAGAATGGCAGTTAAGATAGTGGGAAAGGTAGAGAAACTAAATTTTTAAGCTTATGATCTAACAGTTCATTTCGACTTGATAAAAAAAGTTTCTCTAACTTACTTTATTTCTGGTTATTTTTGTCATATTGACACCCAGTGGACAACAAGGGAATTTATACTTATCTTGACCATTAATAAGATACAAAGGATTATATCTTTAATTTACCTTATATCTTTAATTTACCTTAAATTTTACTAGAAATTTAGTTTTAATGTTACAAAAACCAGAAAGGTTATTTAGTAGCAAATTTAGTAATTTTTAATTATTTACAGGTACCATCTTCGTACATTTTGGAAGCTGATTTTGAAAGCAATAAGGGTTTGGTATTTGAACCATGGTTTCAGATGAGAGCAATTAAAATTGATTACTATAGAGAAAAGTTAAGGATTGAAACTGTAGAAGATAATTAGTTACTGACAATTTTTTGTTTTTAGTAACAAGAAATTCCACTGATAGATTCTATGGAGTTGAAGCAGCAAGCCATAAAGTGCATGAATGCTGACACTGAGCACAAAGGGAGCTGAAATAAATGGGTTTGATGAAACTTCATATGTGATTGACCCTTTTCCACTTCACAATCTGCTCTAGTCATTATTTGTGATTGAACTCCCTGGGCTTCACTGAGGCAACGGGCGGACTTCAGACTTTAAAATCCCCTGAGTTTCTCTTCAGTTTATGATTTCATAATTTATGAGAACTAAGTCATCAGCGGTGGACTTAAATGACAAAATCACCTGTACAGTGAAAAAAGCTCAGGGCTCTATAACACATTCCACTTACAAAGAAATGTCACCAGTTTGCTGGGTTTTCATTTAAACATCAAAAAATGATACACAGACATATACACACATTTTTTGGTTTAACTTACAATTTGCTAGGCACTTCATGGCAGATAATACCCAGTGAGGAAGGTCATCTGTATACACACATACACAAAATTATATTGTTCAGTAGATCACACAGTTATAATAATTGTACATTTAAAAATTAACCACATGAATTAGTATACATACATGACCATTCATGTATTAACAGATCTCAAATTATATGCCGAAAAAAAGTAAAGGTCAAGCCAATAGTTTAAAATACAAGTTAGAAGAGTTATAGAGATTTTGATCTGCCACATGAAAATATCAGCTGTCCCCAAATCAAGATTAATTATTTTTGGGGCAGGGGATCATAAGTAAATAGTCATATTTATTTACTACCAGTATCTCCACACATTATAGCTATGTTTTAAATATTACAGATTTGAGTGTGACCTATGACCAAGATGAACTATATTTGATATTAAGGTTCTTTCTAAATGAAATTTGCCTAACGTCTTTCCATTGTCATAAACTAAAACAGTATACATAAAACCGGGTATTTTATTTTGGACACAAATACTAAACCTTACAGCATACACAGTTCAGTAGACTATTTTAGGCTTTAAAACACAAGGACTATTATCTGTCACTGATCCAATGTTACATGAAAATACAATATAACAAACTCTGAGATTTACTTTTCCCCCTATAACTAATATCTTCAAGTTCTTATTCAGAGAAAGAAAAAAGGAACATCAACTAATTCTACAGAGAACAACCAATATTAAAGAAAAGTTAACATTCTAAACATGAATAGATTAATTCTACTAATATAACATTTAATAACATATAACAATTAATAACTTCTAAATATAAATAATATATATAATATATTCCTTGTAATACAAATTTTCTATTGCATCTGGCTTGATCTATTTTCCTAATTTTCCCATCTGAAATTAAAACATTATATAGCCAGTAATACAAAAATAAGTGCTCTTTAAAAAGCCAGTTTTGAGAGTTGGGATTATTTTGTAGCATATTATTATGGTTCTATATATATATGTCTTGGCCCTTATAAATCTGTACATAATTACTCATTAAATTCTATAAAGGCACAAATCGCTTCTATCTTGTTTATCACTGATTCCTTGACACAATACTTCACATATTCTAGGCCACCTATTAAAAAGGAGGCTAATCAACAGTTCAAATTATCTTCCCATAGCTTTAGATACTTAACTTTGCAATTAAAAAAAAAAGCTATTCATACCTTATGAACTTATTTCACAGAGATTACTATTATTAAAGTATGCAGAAAAAAAATCTGATGTTCCCCAACTAAAATATCATGATATCATGCTTTCTAGACTTCGGTGTTTCTGTACCCCACTATAGCCATATCCTTAGCAAGTTTAAAGAGACGCCAACTTTTATTAATACTTACCTGATTTGTCTTGTAGTGTAACTACTCCATGTTTACTAGTATTGGTCATGTTGTACATAACATACTGAGGAATTACTTGTTTTGGATGTATCACTTCTTCTAGGGATGGCACACCTAAAATGGTCTGCAGACTAAATAGGAGAAATAATACAATTCTCTTTTATTTTTAACTCCATAAAATAGCACTGTAGCACTGTCCTCCCGTTGTTCATCGATTTGCTTGAGCAGGCACCAGTAACGTCTCCATTGTGAGACTTATTGTTACTGTTTTTCGCATATCAAATACACCACGAGGAGCTTGCCAGGCTCTGCCATGCGGGCTGGATACTCTCGGTAGCTTGCCGGGCTCTTCGAAAGGAGCGGAGGAATTGAACCCAGGTTGGCCATGTGCAAGGCAAAAGCCCTACCCGCTGTGCTATGGCTCCAGCCCCCATAAAATAAGAAAAACAAAATATAAATATAAACAAGTACAACTGGAAAACAAAGCTACCAGATTAATTTTTTTCCCTTAAACCAAAACTTGAAGGTTCAGAATGTTTATTTTCAAGTATACTTGAAAGTTCATAGTGTTCATTTTACCTTAATAACATTTAAAGGATTCCAATATATACCCCAAACTATCATTATGACTTTGATTCAGGGAAAAACGTAAATCATACTGAAAATAATCTATTGTCCACTATTTCAGAATTATCCTGTGAACATTCATTAGGGAACAAAGATAAGGGTTAATTTTATTTTGGGGACAGAGAATTTCCCAAATGGTGCTCAGGAGGTCCAAGGGCTACCAGTGGCTCTTGGTTAACTGGATGGGGTTCAAGCAAGAGCCTGAGGATGCAGGGCTGTTGGGGTGCTGTGGTATCAGGGATTACCCAGGCCACCCAGCAGTGCTAAGGGGTCTCCAGGAGCACATTGGGCGACGTTCCATGAACAGATAGAACGGAAGTCAGATGCATGCTGGACATTTGTACTAATCAGCTGGCTAGCTCCAAGCCCTTAAGGGAGAATTTTTTCTTTTTAATTTTTTATTAGTGAATCACCGTGAGGTACAGTTATAGACTTACAAACTTCCGTGCTTGCATTTCAGTCATACAATGATCAAGCACCCATCCCTCCACCAGTGCCCATTCTCCACTACCAATGGTTCCAGCATCCCTCTCGCCACACCTACCCCGTCCTCTCCACCCTACCCCGCCTCTGTGGCAGGGCATTCTAAGGGCGAATTTTTAATGTTTGAAGGCAAACATGTTGTTTTTGATCTGCATGATTTGATAAAAATGCCAAATCAATATTCTAAACATCTCAAGAGCTTGTGACAGCTTACTAGATCAAAATAATGTATCTCCAAACTTCTTCAACATCTTCCTGGCTTATTTCTCTGTTATTAACGGATTTTTCTTGATCTTCATTAATTGCTTCACAGTTCATTTTATTTTCCTGGAAAAAAAAATTAACAGTTTTGCTATGTATAAATTAAGGAAACGATGAACTGACAGTACTCTTAATATTTAGTAATTCCATCAGTATGAGTTAATTGTGGAACTATGTCACCCCTATATAGTGGAATATGTTTAAAAGAATATTTGATTTGGTACTTGCCTCTACCACTTTCAAATCAATTTAAAACAAAATATTTATATTACTCAAATACTTTTCCAACTGTGTCTCAATATGCCATTTTTGGTTATATGTATTATATTTATATTATATTTTATAATTATATAAAACATAATTTTATTTTCTATCATATTTATATATTATATTTTATTGTTACATATGTTATATGTATATATTATTTGGGGCCACACAAGGCTGTACTCAGAGCTTACACCTGGTAGGCTCAGGGGATCATACAGGGTGCCAGGAATGAAGGCAAGTGCTCTACCCACTATACTATTGCTCTGGCCCTAATCCTTTATAAATATTTTAGAACATAATGTAGATAACAAGATTTCAGCATTTGTTTAGAATACAAATGGATCATTTAATTATTCTAACATCAAGCACATGGTAATTTAAACCAGTGATTGATAAAAAAGAATATCTTACCTGAGAGAAATGTAATCCATGTTTTTTAGGAGTTCTACGAGATAAATTTCGTAATTTAAAAAGACTTTCTTTATCCTTGGACAAGTTCTCTATGCTGTTTTTTCTCAATTCTGGATGCCTTCGTGGAAGAGTTTTAAGTGGAGAATTTGCTGGAAATCTAGTAAAAGAATTATATGTATTCAGTAACGTGAGATCAGAAACAAATACGTTTATTTTACAAATCACACAAAGAACTGAACTTATACTGAGATGAAGATTCTACATTTATTTGTGTATACTTCAAGGCTACTATTAGGATATTATCCAATTCTGTTGTCAAGGTATCACCATCAATATGGTTCTACAATGTTCTAGTTAAAAAAAATTTCTTGCCCTTTCTCTCTTTCCTCCACCATTGTCACGGTGTGAACATGGCTCTTCACCACGTCTTCCCACAAGACTTTTGGGATCAAGCGATTCCTGGCCAAGAAACAAAAGCAGAATTGGCCTAACCCTCAATGGATTCGGATGAAAACTGATGATAAGATCAGGTACAACTCCAAGAGGAGGCACTGGAGAAGGACCAAGCTGGGTCTGCAAGGAGAGTCACACGAGATGCATGCATATTTGCTGTGACAGGCTGCTGGTATCTTGAACACAGCAGGCTGAAAGGCACAAGTCTGAAGTCATGTTTCTTGGATTAGGGAATTCGTTCGTCTTCTCTAGCTTCTGTACCTTGTTACTAACTTGGTAATAAATCTTGTGATACCGTGTTTTGGCCCACTGTGGTGTTGGTTCATGCCACTGAATTCTTCCCCAGATCTACTTATATAGTGCTCTCCAGGGACTTATGCTATTTTGGCCATGGTCTGCCATATGTTGGAACCTACAATACCCAGCCCACGACCAGTGTCCCATTTCCCTCCTGCCACCCCTCCAGCCTGCCTCTATGGCAGTCGTTCCTTTTGGACATTAAGATTTGAAATAAAAATACAGAAAGAAAAAAATATATAAATTGAAAGAATTTCTTAGGAAGATATCTAATTTGTTACTATTTTATTCTCTGGAACTCTTCTATTACTCTCCCTGATTATGCTTTCCCTTCCATTATTTCAAAAGATACAAAAAGGACAGAAATTTATAACAATATTCATGTATCAACCATCAACTAAGCTTTTAAAGCATTTTCACCAAAAACTTCATTATCTTTGCTTTAAATTAAAAAAATGAATATATATATATATATGTTTTTAACTACTTCTCTCCTCCTAATATACTGACCAGTATATTCCTTAGGAGTTCTGAATGAAAATTACTGAATTTATCTACTTATGAAGATAAGATTTATGTATGACACTAATTTTGTTCTCATTATGAACAGACCACTGTGTCTTCAATTATTGTCAAAACAAATTTCTAAATATCTCCAAGTAATGTCATATATTTTTGGCAAACTTTTTTGGTTCTTTTTTTTTTTCTTTACATATATGGTGCTGGGGATCAAACTCTGGTCTGCCATGTACTTTGTTGTTTTAGGGCCACACCCAGTGGTGCTCTGGTCTTACTACTTACTCTTTGCTCAGGGGGCCATAGGTGCCATGGATCAAACTTAGGTGGGTAGGTTGTGGACAAGGCAAGCAACCTACCCGCTGTACTATCGCTCTGGCCCTGCAAGTTTTTTCTAAATACTATTTACTACAATAGCAAAAGACTGAGGCAGGAAGATCAGATGAAGAGTTGTGTATAATTCCAGGTAAGAGAGAACAAAGACCTAAGCTAACAAAAAACCATTCATGTTGAATAGTGGGCAGATAGCTAACTACTTAGGCAACATAACAGGCATCGATTGGTAACAGAATCATATGCACAGCGGATAAAGGGTGAACTGATCAATACAAGCATAAGGATGACAGACATCCATATAAATATGGTTTTAAGACTTATGTTAAGATGTGAGTGAGTTTTACATGTTACATTTTAAGTCCCTGTTTAAAAAATAATTAGGTTTTAATGCTCAAGGGAGATATTTGTTTTGGAAGTTGAAAGTTTTAGGAAAAGTAGTCTAAGATTGCCCAGGGAGAGAGGGAGAGAAAGAGGGAGAGGGAGAGAGAGAGAGAGAGAGAGAGAGAGAGAGAGAGAGAGAGAGAGAATAAATCCAGAACCTAGAAGACAAGTAATAGGTACAGAACAAACAGTAACAAATGAACACAACAAAAAGACTAAGGAGAAAAGATTTTCTGAAAAAAGTATAATGTTACACACAAGAAGCTATTTATATGCTTGTCACTGCAGTTTAGTTAATCAATAGAAAATCATCTTTGACACATAGACAAGAATCATTGTTTAGAGGCATTTCATTTGAAAAGCGCTAATTTGTAGCAAAATAAAATCCATTGGTATTACAATCTAAAGATCTGGTCTATAGGATCTGGGAGAAAAACGTAATTATGTTAGCCTGAGAAATTTAGAAAGGTCTCACAGAGCAGTGAGTAAATAATAGAGCTTGATGAAAAGCAATGTGCTTACTACTCTGACAAATCTAAACAGTATTTCAAGGTGGAAGAACATTTAAGTAGAGTAAGATTTCTTGAAGCATGATTTCTCTTTCCAGAGTCACCTTGCTTAGCTAATTTAAATAACTAAATAAGAAAACATTTAAATCTCATGAGTCTATTACATGATAAATACTTAATACTGTCTTAAAAAATGTAGCATATTTCTTTTGTTATTATTTAGCATATGAAGCTTGTTATTATTTATATTACCACATGTATTCTTAAAATTATATGATTAATTATAAGTTACTAGAAGCTAGGAGCCTGTGAAAATTTGTCTTATAATTCTTAAATTTAAGAAACAAATATTACACTTTTCTTAAAATACTACAGAGCTTTGAAATCTGCAGAAGAGTTATTTCATCCTTTCTTCCCAAATCCTTTTATTATATATATTTAGTATAGATGTTAGACACATTAAACATGTTTGAATTTGTACCATTAACATCTGAATCGGTTAGTTGGACCAAGATCAGTATATTTTCTAAAGAAAGTATTACTTCTCCTAAAAAAGTATCAGTTTTAGTACAGTAGATATGGATATACAACTTTTGCTATTAAAGAACCAAAGTTCTTAGTTACTTATCTGTTCATTACCTGAAGAGCTGATTGTTGTCATCAAAATTTTCTGTTCCCCATTTGCCTTTGATGTCTTCAATTACATGATTCTTCAGAAATTTTCTCAATAATTGAACAGTCTGTTGCCTTGTAACCTCCGGACCAAAATTGCTATTATTTCTTAGCAGGTCATAAAGCCAGTCCACTGCTTCTCCTGCTGTAAAGCAATTGCCGTGTTTTTTAAAATGTTGCCTGTGTTTTCTTAGGGGCATTCCTGCTCGGAAAGATGTGGTAACTTCATTCCACTGCAAAATTAATAAAATAAAAAATTAAACAATCAATACCCTCACTGACTTAAAATAGCACTACACTATAGCTCTGTCCTCCCGTTGTTCATCGATTTGCTCGAGCGGGCCCAGTAACGTCTCCATTGTGTGACTTGTTGTTATTGTGTTTGGCATATCCAATATGTCACGGGTAGCTTGCCGGGCTCTCCGAGAGGGGTGGAGGAATCGAACCCAGCTCCGTCGGGCTGACCGTGCGCAAGGCAAATGCCCTACTGAAATATGACCTAAAATTTTATTCACATCTATTACATCACAAAAATTCACAAAAAAATGTGCTTTCTTTGTGCTATAAAAATGTTTCTATCTCATGCTGGTTTTTAAAATTGTTTTGAAATATTTTTATGTAATTGTTTTCATTTGAAATGTACTTTAGTGTTTGATTAGCTTATTGAGGAAAGATAAGATTAACAAAGAAGTACAATAACTTGCCTATCCTTCCCATATTTATTTATAGAGAATGCATTTATTCCTGCTTCTCACCTTAATAATAACATGCTGAAAGCGTTTATGTCGATAATTACTTTACATTTACTATTTGTTTTAATTCACATGCTAGGAAGTATTTATTTCCAGCTGAAGAAGTGAAGCAGAGAGCTTTAATAACTTGACACAACTTTAATAACTCACACAGTAAGCAGTTAATACCAGGCACTTCAAATACAGGTTTATTTGACTTTAGAATTATGCTGACCAAGAAAACTCACAGCACGCAGACTTTTTACTGCTTACGTGCCTTTAATATTAAAATAGCTTATATATTTACTAAGTATCTTTATGTGCACAATCCCCTAGTGTCCACAGAAGAGATGGAGTAAATCCATTGTATACTTAATGATACTTTGATGTACCAATAACTTTTCAAAACCTTTTATTTACTTCCACACTTTCCAGTACTTGCTATGTGATCACTTATGCAATATACATGGCCCCCACTTATGTCCATCAGAAGGCAACATTTAAGGGCATTTCTTTCCATCCATTCCCATCTCCTACTTAAGAAACCTACTAAGGGCGGGATCTGGGACAGAGAAGTGACTATGACAAACTGGAATCCCTGAATTTAGGAGACTCAAACAGCTTTTCCAACACGAGCAGGTGCTGCAGCCAGACCACTAGTCTCTATTGCTAGTTCCATTGTTTATGTTTATGAGTTTGGGTGGGGTGGAGGAGCTTCAAGTTTCTGCCAAATTATTAACCTGAGCTGCACTTTTCTTGACCACAAAACGGAAACAATGAATCAATTAACGAATGGGGCTCCGGAGCAATGCCAACATCGAATGACTACTCCTAAAGGCCTCCCGAGCACTTTCCTGTTCGGTGTGCTGGTAATTTTCCAATCTGCTTTAACGAAAGTTAAAAACAGGTTCCAGGGCCGGGTAAATAGAACCCTGGGTAAGACACTTGCTTTGCGAGCCACCGCCCGGGGTTCGATCTCCTGCACGTCATCTTTCCCCCACAAGCCACGCCAGGCGTGAGTGATCCCTGAGCACCGAGGCAGGACTGATCTCTAAGCACAGAGACAGGAGTGATCCCTGAGCACAGAGCCTGAGCACAGCCGGGGTTGCCTGTGTTATTACACCCCCCAAGTAAAGAAGTAAAATACGGTGACAAGACGACCTGACTTAAGATGACTTGCAGGACTGCTCCATCAAGCTACAAAGTAGCATCTCTGTAAAAGTCACCTCTCTGGGAAGATGGGAATCCTTCCAACCCCGCATCAGCCATACCCAGAAACCCGGCTAGTGCTAACGTGTCCACTCGCGGCGGGTCTCCTCGAGAAGTCGAGTGCCTTTTACCCTGGATGACCCCCCGGATCACAGAGATCCTCCTGGGAAGACCCTCTGGGGGGGGGGGGGGGCGAGCACTTTGCACCCCGCTAATGCAGCAGGAAAGCACCCCACCTTCTGTTCCAGACCCAGCTGCACCGCGGCCTCCAACAGCGGTGACCGATGGTCACTCAAACGGGGGACAGATGAGCCCAGGACATTGGGGGATGGTGGGGCGCCGCCGCCCCCCAGCAAGGGTCCGAGGTCTCGCGGCTGCACTTCGCACCTAACGGCCGGCGACAAGGACTTTACCCCGGAGAGGGAGATAAACCATGAGGCCCAGGGGGGTCCGCCAAGCCAGCAAATGCCCCTCACTCTCCTTTCTGCCCACCCAGGGGTGCCCGAGCCCAGCCCCCAGCTGCAGCGGGGACGTTTCCGGGGAAAGCGGTGGCTGCCATCACCCGGCTAGTCAGTCGGGCGGTGGCGGCGGCGTCTTACCAGCTTGGTGGCCCGGTAGGGCCCGGCAGGCACGTTCCGAGTCTCCATTCCGCCCACCGAGTCCCGAGAGCCCTCAGCACCCGGCGCCCTGCAGGGCAGCCTCAGGCGACCCAAGCGCCCTTAGCATCCCCAGACGCCCCGGCTCCGGCCGCCGCGCCGATTTGAATACCGCGGGCGGCGGCGCTGATTGGCTGCTCTCCGGGTCACGTGATACCATCGCGTGGGCGGGGCCGCGTCCCGGGGCGGGGACTCGCGGCGCAGTGGCCCGGGCCCTGGGTGCTGGGCGGAGCGCGGCGCCGCGGGAACCCGACGGGTTGTGGTCACCCCCTGGCTTCCTCCGTGCAGCTTCTCCCCCTGGTGGTGCTTGGCGAGAAGGAGTCGCGTTTTCTTTCGGGACTGACGGGTGAGGGCGGGTTAGCCTCGCCGGTGCAATTGCCAACAACCCCGAGCCACCCCAAGCCTCTTTCTGGGTCCCCAGAGCCTCCAGGCTCTCCTGCATCGGTGAACCCCCCGAAACAGAGTCTCGACGAGGATTGCGGCTCCCATCCCCACCCGGATTGGTTTTTTAAAAAAAAAAAAAGTTTGCTGGGTGCATGGGGGCAGAGCTGATCTCCTGGGTCCGTCTGGGCCGGGCCAGGATTTTGTTCCGCCCAGTGCAAAAAACATAGGTTCGATCTACCGGGCTCCCCCGCCACCACCTCACTCCTCAGTCACCAACCACATCACTTTATATCGCTGGTGAATTGAAAGAAATGAGTTCCCGCAGCGAGAAGCTTGGGAAGCCGGCCTGGAACGCTAGCAAATCACTTTCTCTGAAGGAAGTGTCTCGCGGGCGTTTTGTAAAAATACTGTCTAGATGTCCATCAGGTTGTATTTTAAAAATCACACGAGATGACGGAAAATCAGGTTGCAGCACATATCCGAAACTAAAAGCAAAAGTACCCAACTCCGGTAAATTGCGAGCGCTTGAGAGAGACGAGGGAGGTCCAGGGCTGGCCAGGTCAGGGTGGGGATAAAGGTTTTCTCACCTACTTGAAGCTATTCTGCAAAGACCTCCTGCCTGTAGCAGACAGAGGGGTTGCTTTGCTTGCTGGTGGAAAACTGCGGAAGTCACTAGGAAATAAAGCAGCAATAAGAAAGTCTAGAATTTAGTATGAAAGAGAGGTAAGAAAATTCTCCATCAAATAACTTTCAGATAGAGCGCGCCTTGGCTAGTGGGTGCAGAATGATACTTTGAAAACTTGATTTTTCCCCCAAAATGTATTGATGAACAGGAATGATCTATTCAGTTCTGAATTTGTGTTAAGGAAAACCATCATGCTCATGTTATGAAAGAATGTTAAACCATTTCCCCCTACTCTGGCTTCCAGACACATTATCCTAAGAATTATTTTTTCTTTTATAGAAAAATGGTTGAATGAACAATTTTATTCCTTCCAATGAAATGGAGATGAGGATATGGAAGTCAAGATTGATTTTGCCTTTTGGTCCAGGTGAGAAATTCTTCTATCCAAGTTTAGGATAATACTTAATCAGACTCAAAATAAGCTAAAATGTTACAGAAGATACTGATGATGGCAGAAAAGGAATTAAACCGTATAAAGTGTCTGAAACATTTTAATGGGTAACAACCAAGTTTGAACTTTTCATTTGAGAGTGGTTGGGACATTCTAGGAAGACATGTAACACAGTGTTAAGTGTTGCAGGTTGGGAAAGTATCTAGACTTAAAAAGAAAATGTCTTAATAGACAATTCAAAATGTATTCTTTCGGTTGTGTTTTGGGACAGGGATTGGGGTTTGGGGTGGAAACATCCCGAATTTGGTGGTGGGAAGGTGTAATGGTGATGGGATTGGTGTTTGAATATTAAATGGAATCAAATATTGTGAAGTAACTTACAGAATAAAAAAAATTAAAAAAATTAAAAAATGTCTAAGGAGTCCAAGCCATAATACAGGGGTAGGGCACTTGCAATGCACACAGGTAATCCAAGTTTGATTCCTGGCACCCCGGCACTCAGTAAGCACTGAGTATTGCTGGGTGTGGCCCCCAAAACAAAAAAGGTTTTTTTTATAAATGAAATCTAAGGATATGTTTTTCCTCCCCCCTCTTTCACATGGACCATTTCTTTCTTTAAATGGGTGAATGTGCAGTACACATAATGTTCTGGGTTTCCTGCTGGCTCTGTGCGTGGGAGCCTCTCCCGCTGGTGCTCCAGAGGGCTGTGCAGTGCTCTGGATGGAACACAATGATGATTTAGATTTTCTTAAATAAGAAAAAATGTGTTATTTTATTTATTTTTTTTGGGTCACTGTGTAAACTCACACAAAGAGGGGGCACGGCACCCAACTCAGCGGCGGTGGCTCTATCTCTCCCGCCACCCGCATTCAGTAGTCTCACCCTTCTCCCACCCCGGAGAGGTCGATGGTGATGGTCAGGCAGAGGAAGGAACGAGGGCCAGGCTGTTAGGTATTAGTCGTAGTTTATTCTGATTCTCTCCTCATCTCTCCTTCTGTCTCTGCCCCCATTCTTCCTCCCCCAGCTACTTCATTCTCCTTCTCCATTCCCCTTTATCCTCCTTCTCTGGAGTCTGGGTTCTGATCCTCTCTGAACTCTCTTCTTCCTTCTGCCCCGCCCGCTCCTCCAGTACAGTTAAATCCTCTCTCCATGAGGAATTGGGGAAACAATTACACATTACACATAGGTGTGGTCATAATCAATAGGGGTAGAAATCAACAGGGGTAGAAATCTTAGCCTCAGGGAAGACCGCTCCTAGGACAGATCCTTCCTCAGCAGGAGGACCCACCCTAGAGCAGAATCCCATGGGCGTGCCTCTCCTCTCCTTGTCTGACAAGCATATAAAAATATAATATAAATCATTTTGTATGGATACGGTAAGAAATATCTTAAACTTATAGAATTGCTCTCCTAGGGCCATCTCGATCTCAGACTACGGTGCTCAGGCCAGATAGTCTTTCCCACCCCTAGCAGGATCCTAGTCTTGTGGTTACCTTTGGATCATGACAGCATTTGTCTATGATCAAACTCTTAACTTATAGTTAAGAATCGTGGCACTTTGGCCTGGCCCATTTCGCTGCCAGGGTAGCTCACCGCTTGCCCTGGGTCCATTCAGTCCCTCGTCGGGACCCTGCTTTGGGGTGTTAGGAACTAAGGGCAACTGAGGCTAAGTCGAGAAAGCAGATGCCCGGGAGTGAATAATATTCAAGGCCAATCAAATCCTAAGTTACAAAGCATAATGTTAACGGTCTTTCTGTATCTATACAAAAAGGATATTACTTTAAAGTAAACTATTTATAAGGCATAAGGAGAGGAGAAAGGCAATATTTCACTCATACATATAAAATCATAGATTTCTGGGAAACTGATCTTACAAATTAACAAAGTCTGATTAAGGGGAAAGCTGATTAACTGGGTGGGAAGGAGAGCATAGGGAAGACTGTTTACATGTTTACATGTAAACACAATGGAAGTGGAAGTGCTTCAGGAGCACTGTGATGGGTGTAACCAGATTGATGGGTGTAACCAGATAAACCTAAGCTTCTTGTGGAAGGACAAAGAATGTTACCCAACAGGTCACACCCAACGATGTTCAGGGTTTACCCCTGGCTCTGCACTCAGGAATTACTCCTGATGGTGCTTGGGAGACCTTATGAGATGCCAGGGATTGAACCCAGGTCGGCCACATGTAAGGGAAATGCTCTACCCACCGTACTATTGCTCTGGTCCTAGAAAAAAATGTTTTAAAATGATGTTCTGGTCGAGTTACAGCAGTGAGTGAAGTTGATAAAGTCTTTGCAGTGGAATTTAAATGTATATCTCATAGCGATTAAAAAGAATAAAATAAAATGCCAGCTGAAGAAAGGAGTTCTTGTCAATTCCTTGACAAATGACCTGAGTAGCCAAGCAGGATCACAGTGAAGTCTTTTGAGAGTTGGCAACATGAAGGTCAATGGTAGCCTCATGTCTTAGGTTAGGAGGGAAACATGAAGACCAGTTGGAGAGACTTGACAGGAGTGTGGGAATAGGGAAAATTGAGACAGTTGCCACGAATACATTCAGTGTGTTTGGATATCAGGGGAAGTGAGAAATGTGAAATATCTGAATGAGGATTTGAGAACCAGGGTGAGGATATTTTGGTTTTAAGGACATGGACAATATATGTAAGCTAACAAGAATATTTACATTCAAAAGAATAATTGGAAAGTGTGGGAAGGGGTAATTGTCAGAAAAAATTCTATGAGAAACTAAAGGGATGGAATAGACATAAAGGTGTTTAGCAGGAAATGGTTTTTTTTTTTCCTTTGTATTAATAAGGCAATTGCAGACTTTTCCGTAGTTGGGTTTTTTATTTGGCTTGGTTTGGTTTAGGGGCCATATCCAGTGATGCTCAGAGGTTACTCCTGGCTCTATACTACCTGGTGGTCTTGGTGGACATATGGGATGCCGGGGATAGAACCCAGGTCAACTGTGTGCAATTCAATTGCTCTATCCACTGTACTACCACTCTGGTTCCTTTTTTCATAATTTTACCTGAAATGTGAGGGGAAAATATGTCAGAAAACTGTCCTGCTATCTCAATTTCATTTTTAAAAGAAATTAATCTTTGGTACAGAGTTTTGATTGATCAGTAGTTTATCTACTGTATATTGGACTCCACAAAATAGAAGTAGCACTGTCCCCCCATTGTTCATTGATTTGCTCGAGAGGGCACTAGTAACGTCTCTATTGTGAGACTTGTTGTTGCTGTTTTTGGCATATTGAATATGCCACCAGGAGCTTGCTAGGTTTTGCTGTGCAGGTGGGATACTCTTGGTAGCTTGCGGGGCTCTCTGCGTGGGATGGAGGAATTGAACGGGGGTTGTCCGCATGCAAGGCAAATGCCCTACCCACTGTGCTAATGCTCCAGCCCCGAAAAATAGAATTGAATGCCAAAATTAAAGTTACTCTCATAAAATGGTAAATCTATCTTCTCTAAGAGATTAAAACCTACTTTGGAAGAGATCATATGAGCAAACAAAATACAGAAAT